TACGTTCTTACGGCGCTGCCATTGCCGCGACAGAACATCCCACTGAATTGGAGTAGCGAGGACGAGGTCGGCCTTCTCGAGAATCTTTAGATCTGCAGTGGTTTCGCCGGTAAGTTTGGCAATGTTCTTGCCACTATCGAGATTCCCCAGCCGGCTTTGCCAATCACTCAAGCGATGGTCGATCAATTCTTGGAAAGGAGCAATATACACAGCTTTTCCAAATTTGGACTTCGACCAGTGGTGAAGTAGAGCAAACTCGGCACAGACCGTTTTGCCACTGCCAGTAGGGGCTCCTAGGAAAACGTTGTCATCCGAGTCGAATAATGACTTGAAAGCTTGAGTCTGAATCTTATTGAAATGATCCCAATGAGGATAGAGCTTTTGGTACTCAGTTTGTTTAAGGGCCTTTACTGGTACTCGCTGCATATCCAACAACGGTGTATGAGCCGGGAAGCGCTCGGGGAGAATCAGCTTTTGAAACGAGACGGGGATCTTTGTTTCTGAATGCATCCATCGATCCGAAACAAGTGAGATGAAGTAGTTTGGAGGCATTGGCTCCGTTATGGGTGTAGTGAACTCTACTAGATGCTCATTCATTTCAGAAACAGCGAACTCTTTGCGAAGAATGAATTGATCATGGAAGAGGATATCTTCTCCATCACAGTCCTCCACAATGATCCAGAAGCTTTCTGCAACGCCGTGAAGATCATCATCCCATGTAAAATTAGGGGTAATGGTGAGTTCCACACGGAGCATTGACCGAGTTATTGGTTGAACCTGTGCTTGAACATCCAGACGCGGGAACTTTGAGATGAGATCGCAAACGGTTCGGCCTGCCTTCGGCATGCCTAACAACTCTCCCACTCTCGGTGGATCCAGATCAAAATACGTTGACCACGGAATGTCGATTCTTTCCGACTTCTGCAAAATGTCACGGGGACAAGATGGGAATTGGCGAAGAGGAGACATTGTGGGCCACATTCGCTTTTCTGCCATCTTGCACAGGCTCAAAGCGATTTTTGCTACTGACGCCCATCCCTTTTTCAGTGCAATTTCGAACATTGCCCTAAGAATACGGCCTGCGGACTGGGTAACATATACCATATCCGCCATTAACGCAAGCCCTTCCAGCTTCAAGCGAGAAATGTATGCTTGTAGGAGTACATTGACCTTCGCGTGAGGCTCTTCAATGCTTTCCTTCACAGGTATTGGAACACGACCAAGGAGCTTCGCTAGCTCCAATTTTTCGTCTTGTCGAACTGGAATATACTTGAATTCGTCACTAAGAGCAAAAATACGGAAGAGCTCAATTGTCGACACCATGGGCTGAAGGTGGTAGTTATATGTGTTCATAGAGCTGTGCGTAATATAGTAATGTGAAGCAATCCGGCCAAGTTCGGTAGATTGGAGCTTTCCCGTCTTTTTCTCATATTTAATAAGGTTAGCTTTTTCGAGAATGGTTGCAGCAGAGTGAATCAAATCCACGCGTCGCTGTTCGAGGGTTTGGTCGTTTTCGTAATCAGTGCCAACACTGTAAAGGCCAGGGGAGCGAAGCATTCGGACAAATAGGTACGTGTAACCGAGCCATTCTACCCCTTCGTCGCGATTGCGGACATTTCCAAGCACAATCTCAGCGTTCAGGTTATCAGCAAGTTTGCTCATAAGTTGACTTTCAATAGGGAGTTGCTGGTTGAGAAGAGAGAGGTAATATTGCATTTCGGTTTGGGATGTAATGATAATACCTTCTCCGAACGTGTCATACTGTGGTCGACCAGCACGGCCAAGCATCTGCAGCACATCCTGAGGACTCAGCTCAACCCAGCTGCCTTTCTCCGGCGAGTAAACTTGAGTACCTTTGATGATGACTGTATGAGCTGGGAGATTGACACCCCATGCCAAGGTAGCAGTACAAACAAGAACTTGCAAACTACCATCCGCAAAAAGTTCTTGAACTGAGATACGATCAGCCAAACTCATGCCAGCATGGTGAATGCCAAAACCATAAGGCATAAGGTCCTTCAAAGCAGGATCGTTAACTGCATCTGCTTCTTCCGTAAGAATAGCTCGACTGGCCGCGTCGCTTCTCAAAATTTGACCTATGGTTTCCATCTCAACAGCTTTGTCTCGTATATATCTAGCCGTCTTTGCCGTTTCTTTTCTTGAATGAACGAAAATCAGCATTTGATTTTTATTAGCACCAACTTGCTCGAGAACCTTCGTATAGCAAACATCGTTCATTGTTTTCAGCTGTTTAATTGCCTTTTTATCAGTCACACCAATAAATTCCTGCTTCAACGGACATGGTCGGTAAGATCCATCAAAGTGGAAAAGCGCATTGATCGGGTCAACACGCAGAAAGCTGCCAACATCGCGATAATTAGGAAGCGTGGCGCTCAGACCAATCAGGCGCACTGGATCACAGGTCTGCTCCATTTTACGTATCGTCCTGCTAACGATGCTTTCTAGGACGGGACCTCTGTCATCATGGAGCAAATGAATTTCATCGATGATGATGAGCCGTACAAGTCTCGTATAGCTGGTATCAGTTGCTTTTCTCGTGATAACATCCCACTTTTCAGGAGTGGTCACAATAATCTGGGTATCCGCTATCTGATTTTTGGTAAGTTGACGATCACCTGTAAGTTCAGAGACACGGATGCCATAAGGCTTTAGTCTTTCGCCGAAATTCCCAACTTGCTCCTGGACAAGTGCTTTTAATGGTGCGATGTAGACTATTTTGAAGTCATCTAACATGATCTCTCCAGTTTCAGAGTTCCGATTTTTCCCAATCTCACGTAGGATTGTAAGCATTGCTACGTTGGTTTTCCCAGATCCTGTTGGAGCACAAACGAGCATGTTTCCATCATCGTTAAATGCCATCGGGAAACACATGGTTTGGATACGATTAAGTTTTTCGGAGTTCTTGAAGCTCGGACGAGCCCAATCTGGGAGGTCCGAAATTGAAATAAGGCGCTCATTTGGGTCTCTCTTTGGTTTGGGAGCGGGAACGTGAATTTCCTCATATCCCTTAAACGTTCTTTTGGTTGAACCTTGGGGCAATTTGACATTAGGGTTAGTCATGAGATGGTTTCCTTGATCAAAAATCAGATTCTCGAGGTTAATGAGCTTTTTAGGCTGAAGCCCACGCGTTAGGACACCATCCTTTGGCTTCGATTCAGCTTCAGTTGGCTTGGGACCCGGGATATCAATGTCCATTAAGTCAATTCTCATTTTTCTGCCAGCCTGTTCCGCTCCATTTTCTCGAGATGACTTGCCACGTAGTTCATCCAAAATCGCGTATTGACCAGCTTCAACCATCTCCTTTTCAAGAACCGCTTTGGCATCCGCATCATCCGCTGTTCGCCTCCACTTGGTTACCCAGACAATTCTGTCCCTATTCGTGATGAGCTTTCCAACCAAATCTGGATAATCGTAATCGAAAAGCTCCATTAGGTCATTTTCTACATCACGGAGCGGTCTTTCACTCCCATCCTCGAACTTTTCACCCATCATCTGTAACGCCTCTCGGGTCTTTTCTTGTTGTATATGTGCGTCACTATAAACCGATCCAATCTCCCGTTGGAGCCAATAGGCATCGATTTCGCGGATTGGGACAACTTTTGCGCTACCATTAGTTTTGTCGCCATTGGATGCCTCCACGGTGCCATCGATTATTATTTCCTCATCGGGGGTGCTGGCTTTGTCCCTTTCAGCAGCGGCCCCACCAGCGGTAGCAAGCTCCTCTCGATCCGGTCGATCTTCCTCATCAGACATGTCTTCGTCGGAATGCTCATCAGCATCTCGAACTTCGTGGGCGAAATTTTCTTCTTCGTCATCTGGTTCATCGAAAACCACAGCGACACCTTGTCTCTCATCCAATTCCTCTCCGCCCTGTCCACCATCCGCGCCGTTCTCCATGTTTTCATCTTCATCCTGGGCATCGTAATCAGTAATTTTCTTCCCCAGGTTTACAAGCTCATTAAACTCCTTGGGGCCCATAGAGCTTCCAAGTAGATCATCAATCTCTTTTTTCTTGTCAAAGTCCTTCATATTTTCGTCTTTCAAAAGCTCCAGCACCGCATCCGCAGCGCTTCTAATCACCTCGTGAGACACATCTCCCAGGTGGTTGGAAGTCATGGTGAGGATTAAATCATATGTTGCTCTCGTCACAGGAGTTCTGGGACGATATTTTAGGCCTTCAATAAGCGTATCTGCCGCAGACAGGATACCCGCGCCCTTCATCTGTGCGGGTTCCCCTCGTTTCCGCTTCCGCTGTTCTCGTTGCAAGACAGCTTCGCCTTCACGAATGGCATCACGTTCCACATTTCTCGGGGTAACTGGAACTCTTTTGACCTTCGCGGCATCCGCTTCTGACACTCGTGTGCCCATGTCCTTGATATTAATGCGACCGGCGAGGGACTCCGGGTCACCTGTAACCTCATCTGTGCGGCGAGTTACAAATCGACGGTCCGCCTGGAGAACCAGGTTGGACATCGCCGAGTACTTGTACTGCGACACATTATTTGGATCCGCCATCTTGATCGTCGTACGGGGATATCGTCGAGAGATGTCGTAATTTGCTGGTAATCTGTAGCTTGTTGATCTGGTAGATATTGTGGATTTTAGCCCATGAAACCTTGCAGACACGGCAGGGTTAGGGGTAATTCAGGAACCTAGTCGCATCGCTTGAAGATGGCACGCGAGATTTGAGCCCTAGAATTCCTCCTTCGCAGGTATTGGAGGTTGTAAAAGGATAAGCGTACAGCAGAAAAATATGTTGATGAAGCATTGAAGTAGCTTTGATGTTGAAGGGTCATGGAGAGTCCGAAAAGGGACTAGCGTGGCAAGAAGCCCAAGCCTGAGTGCTTTTTTTTACTTTTTTATATTTACTGCGTCGAAAGTAATAATAGAGGACCGACAACCATGGAATAAATGCCTGGTTGAATCTGGCGTATCAGGGTACACTAACAGAACAACCCGGGTGGTGGATATCGTGGATAATGACAGTTTATCTGTATGGACGGCAGCTGAGACGTCCTCTTCTATCAACATGTTCACGTTTTTGCCCCGTCCGCAATGCCTCCAGATCTCGCGTTTTGGCCCGCGGTTTTGTCCCTCTGCAGCACAATCGCGGGGCAACGACAAAAACTTCTTCCAAACTTAATGATCTTCGTCAAGGATGTTTAAAGAAATCTCTGGAACCATACCCGTCGGTTGTCAATGATGCGCCTCAGTATCCAACGGTGATTCAAGGAGCCAAAAACAACATGCTAAAATTTAAAAACTGTGTACTGCTGACAAGGGTGGGCAACTTTTACGAGGTACGGAAGTCTGTTCCCTGAAATTGCCTGAGAATCAATAGTAATAGTAGTGGTTATTCCTTTGCAGCTCTATTTCGAACAAGCCGAAGAATACGCTAAACTGCTGAACTTGAAATTGGCACAGAAGAAGACAAACGCTGGTGTCGTTCCAATGGCAGGCTTCCCGTATTTCCAACTGGAACGTTTTCTAAAAATCCTGGTTCAGGACTTAAACAAGTATGTGGCTATTAGCGAGGAATATCGCAACAGTGAAGTTGAAAAAGCCAAATCGGGGGGTCTACAATATGACCGTAAAGTTGCTCGAATTGTTACACCCGGGACATTGATTGACGAGAAGTTTATGGATCCTTTTGAGAACAACTTTCTCCTGTCAGTGTATATGGCCCATACCCTCCCAGAGGAGACGGAAATACTATCGCCTGGACAGCATCCTTATATCTCGGGGTCTCGATCTATCGGTATGTCCTGGCTAGACTTGTCAACAGGGGTTTTTTTTACCCAGAGTACGACAGCACAAATGCTACCATCTGCCATTACCAGAATTAATGCCCGGGAGATAGTTATCGACGTTCAGGTCGATGATAAATTCAAACAAGAGCTTCAAGCAATTGTTGGGCAAGACCAGAAACACCTTATAACGTCGTTTAAATGTCAGGACCAGACGAAGATGCTGTCCGATTGGAGTTCGGTCTTTGAATCCCCAATAACCCCTGATGCAGCTAGCATGTTTACTACAGAGGAAATAGCTTCATGTAACATGTTGCTGGAATATGTCCACTTTCAGATCCGGGGAATGAATATGAAACTCCAGGCGCCACGCCGCAGGCATCTTGACCAATCTATGACTATTGACCGTAGTAGCCTAAAGGGGCTGGAGATTTTAGAAACCGCTCGAGATGGTCTTGGGAAAGGAAGCCTTCTCCACGCTGTGCGTCGAACGTCAACTAAAAGTGGAGCACGACTGCTTAGAGATAGATTGAGTATGGACTTTTATGTCTTCTCCTTGTGCCTGCAGTTTTTATAGGCTAATGCCATCGTCTAGCGTCGCCTTCTGCTTCACTACATATTATAAACGAGCGCCTTGATTTGGTATCCAAGTTCCTTGCAGATGAAGACCTACGACAAAATATAACACTTCTCCTTAAACGTAGCTACGACTCTCAACGATTGGTTCAGAAGTTTTCATTAGGAAGAGGCGACGCCGACGATCTCATATGCCTCTCAAAGACAATTCAAGCGTCGCGAGATATAAAAGATGTTCTGCTACAGAATATCGAAGGTTCTGATCAACCTTCTGACCAAGAAGCCAATCCTGATGTGACTCGTGGTTTACGTTCCATGCTTGATCGTCTGAACCTCAATGGCCTCGAAGCACTTTCAAAGCGAATACTCGGTGCAATTGATGAAGAGGGGCTCCTTCAAAAGCAGCGGATTGAGGATGACGCGGCCGCCGAAGCTGCGGCCCTAGCTCAACAAGTTATTTTGAATGAAGGATCCCCAGAAGATCTAGAAGCTATGCCCAAGAAAATCCAAGATCAGTATGGTGCCAAGCAAAAGGAGTCGAACGGGGTTGAACAGTCAGATGGAGACGCATGGATCATACGCCGCGATGCGAGCGAGAAGCTGCAAGAGCTTCACGATAAACTTGATTATCTGAACAACGAAAAGTCAGAATTAACACTGGAACTACAGGATATCGCCGGAACTGCCAATCTAAGTCTCAAATGGACTCCTGCACTTGGCCATATTGTTCATGTGAAGGGAACAAAGGCATCCCAACAATCAGTCGAAGCCTTGGAAGGAATGCGATCCGTTTCCTCATCAAAATCAACACGCTCCTTTTATCTAAGTTCTTGGACACAATTGGGTGCTCAAATAGGCGAAGCAAAGGAAGAGATCAAGAACGAACAACAGCGTGTTTTGAGAAACCTCCGCGAAGACGTAATTTTGAACCTTGTGAAACTGCGGAGAAATGCCGCTGTATTGGACGAACTTGACGTTGCATGCTCATTTGCCAATCTTGCCAAGGAGCAGCGGATGGTTAGACCGGTTATCAACAATGGCACAAGCCACAAAATCGTGGGCGGAAGACATCCAACGGTAAAACTTGGATTGGAGGAACAAGGCCGCCCTTTTGTTAGCAACGACTGCTTCATCGGAGAACAGGAGCGAATATGGCTCATAACGGGCCCAAACATGGCCGGCAAAAGCACCTTTTTGCGTCAAAATGCTCTCATTACCATTCTCGCGCAGGTCGGCTCGTTCGTCCCGGCAGAACATGCAGAGATAGGTGTTGTGGATCAGATATTCAGCCGTATTGGTGCTGCGGACGACCTGTTCCGCAACCAGTCTACCTTCATGGTAGAGATGTTGGAAACGGCCGCGATTTTGAAAAATGCAACGCCACATTCCTTTGTCATCATGGATGAAGTTGGGCGGGGGACGACGCCGGAGGACGGAACTGCGGTTGGATATGCATGTCTTCTCCATCTCCATAACGTCAATCAATGTCGCACGCTATTTGCAACGCATTTCTATGCACTGGCTGACATGACTGCTGGCTTCGAACGTTTGGCTCGATACTGCACGGACTTAAAGGAGGACTTGTCGGGGTCGTTTTCGTTCGATCATAGATTGAGAAAGGGCGTGAATCGCCGATCCCACGCTTTGAAGATTGCACGCTTAGCAGGCCTTCCGGAGAGTGTCATCGATGTCGCAAATGACGTGTTGGGCGAAATTTCCGGCGGAGGAAGCTATGAGCCCGACGAGAATCTATCTGGTCGCGGTCTAGCTGCCCAACGCGGCTCGTGATATTCCAACTCTCACCCGCACTTATCTTTGTTTTACCAATTTTTTACTTTCCAGTCATCACATCTTATTATGATTCTTAGATACCCTGGTGTAATATTCAAAAAATACTTTCGTTTTGATGTCGCAATGGAAATTATAATTGACTGGGGGTATTATATAAATATAAAACAATGCACTATCCCATTAAACCATGAAAGTATCACTCATAGCTTAGCCACCTCATCCTCATAAACTTCCATCTCCCTGACATCCACGTCAATATCTACATCAACAACTATCCCTTCCTCGAATGCGACCTCCTGACAATCATCCTCAGCAACCCCGTTAACAAATTGCACCACCACAAAATCCACCCGATGCCTCCCCACCACTACCATCGGCGCATGCCATGTCCCAGCTCCATATGTAACCGCCTGCCCACCATGTGCAACGAACGCCTTCATATTGCGCATATCCGGCGGGTCGCGAATAACCACTTCCTCCTTGAGACCCCGAGCATTTACAACAGTAGCCCGTACCCTCTGGCCATGTAATGATGGTGCAACGATAACCAAGAAGCTAGGAGTCATACCGTTGTTGCTGTTATCGTCAATATCGCCATTATTACTCGTATCTGTGGATCTCCTACTCTCTCTACCCTGGCCTCTTTTATCCGCAGGCATTGTAACACCCAGCGGTACAAACGTCTGCGTTGTATACGGATGTCGTTCCAGAATCCTAACATCAAAAAAACCCTTCCCTTGTTCTCCACCTCCCCGCAATGACCTCGGGAAACACGAAAACATACTCATGCACGGAGAGCCCGCACCTCCTCGGTCCCGGGATCTCGCACTCTCACATTGGTCGTAATTATTCTGGAATACGGAGATTGGACTGTATTTCAACGCGGTGGATTGGTTGGCAAGAGTCGGGGTAGGGAGATCAGATATTGTAGAACTGTTTGTGTTTGCGAGGGACTGAATGGAGGTGACTGGAGGTGCACGGGTGAGTGTTGATGGCAATGGGCTACATATGGCGTTACCGAAGGGTTGAAAGGAGGATGGAGTGAGCGGGGATGCGGAGATGGATAGTTTTGGTGATGGCAGGATTGGAGGAGCCATTGCCGGTGATTCAAGAGAAGTATAGCATAATTATTTTAATGGGGGTTTATTGCTGCGGTTTAAGAGGCTTGTAAATCCGCGTTGAAACTGCTGTTGGCAGCAGGTTAAGGTTGAAATAGGAGGTTGTTGGTAGGCAGACGTCATAGGCAGATAAACCTTAAAATACTTTATTCAGTGGGGGATCGACAGACAAACTACCTCATGAGGACTAGTTAGAAGAACTAATCCTAATTAGGAATGGCGCCATTATATCTGTACGCTGCCCAAAGGAACAACATATCCAAACTTGTAACTATCAGAATGGATATCGAGGGCTGTATGGGAAAATTTAAATATATTTGCGTGTATGAAGATTCAAATCCCCACATTCCAAAGTCACGATTGCATCAAAAACATTCAACAAATATCTTCTCCCTGGCTACTCTTCCTGAATCTTGACCACTACCTTGTGCGATCTTCCCGCTCCCTTTTGGTGATATCGATATGCCTCAAGCGCATCCTCAAACCCTCCGCGTTCGATCAAATCAAAGGGAGCAGGAAGTAGCTTCTCCTGTTCAAACAAAGCCACAAACACCGGGATGTACTCTTCAAGAAGCTTGTTGATATGCTCTCCGTTGGGTCTTCCAATTGTACCCATCTGAACAATCGTAGTTTTCCCCCCTTCAAAGTCGGTGATTTTACTCCTGTTCACGAGATTAGCTAAAGCATTTTCATGGGAAAGAAGCCCAAGAAGCTGTGTGAAATCGTCCCTTGTTCAAAATAGACTTACCAGGCATTTGTCGTGGAAAACAACTTTGGACCTCCTGCTGGGAGCTTTTTGAACAGCTCTTTCGCGAACGCATCACCAGTCGCCGCGGCGTCAAAGACTCGGTGGACTCTGCCTTTGGTAATATCAAGGACAGTTTTGACTTGATCTCTAATTGGCATTTTATAGTCAAATACAGCCCTCGCTCCCTGACTTTTCACAAGCTGATATGCGGATGTTAGCATTGCCATACATCGGAAAAATGAAACTAGGAGATAATATTCGAACCGGAACTGACTGTTCTGAACAGGATGCGATCACTTTATATCCGCAGACATCAAGGAGCTAAGGATCCATTAGCATGCCATTTTGTATGGCTAATACTGGTGCCACGGGAATAATTGAGTCCCTGCCTGAACGCCAAATTTTCCAACACTGCTGGAGCCTCCAAGAACAACTGCCCATTCATCCCTTTTTGGAGGTACATATTTCCCTTCGCGGACATCTTCCAGCTTGGGCAACTCGACATCGAGAGAGTTGAAGATACCTAGGCCTGCAGTCTACTCTCAATATGAGCTTTCAATTTCGATCCAGCGTCACCGACCCTCCGAAAGGAGTGAATATGCCACTGAGGAAACATACCTCAACACCGACGCCAATTGTAGCAGCTTCCACTAGAGAAATATTTTTCGGTTTGGGAATCGTAACTTTGGCATCCATCAGGAACTATATCTCATATAATAATATTATATACTAAGTTAGAACGGTTGAGCCATCCCCAAGTTCTGGCATAAAAGCCCTAGTTTCAACCCACGGAATGAAGTACGCACCCATATACTCAATCTACCTAATCTACCCAAGAAAAGTGAGCGCACTTACATATTCCTGCCCGCCGTTGTACCCAAAGTATCCCAAGCGAGAGCAACCGCAAACACGATCGCCAACTTTAAACGACGAGGCAGCATTTTCGCCAGCCTTTACCACGATGCCTGCGACGTCGAGCCCAAGACCCAGCGGCCATTCTTGAACGAGGGCTCCCGTCGTCCTCATCAATTCGTCACTGGATATAGAGTAGTTAGAACACCCCTGAGTAACGAATATTTTCTGGCAGCTGTGACGTTACAACAAAGGAAATATCAAAGTTTGCTTGCTCCTCTGGAACTGCAGGTATATGTATGCAGTACATGTGCATCGTCCATCCAGACGGCTTATTACCAAAAACAAAGAAAGAAATAATAAAATAAAAATAAAGGAAAAAATAATCCAAAAAAAACTCAATTCAACTTTGAGGGACATAATGAAATAAAATGAACACCATGTATTATATACTAACACTGGATTAATAGCCATGTAAATCGACTTGACCAAGATCTGGTCCGATGATGGCTCAGGGACCTCGAGATTATCAACGATTTTAAAAGGCTCGCCAACCTTCTCGGAAATGATTCCCTTCATATTTGACGTTTTATTTTTATTTTATTTTATTTTTTTCGACAGGACTGTTTGGTTGGTGTTAGTATGCCTTTGATTGTGTATCTAGGGAGTGATGGATGCTGGGGGTAAGGTGGGGTAAGGGAAGGCAAGTGAAGAGCTCACAGAGGCATTCAAAACAGTTAAAAGAATATAATAGAAATGCTTGTATATTTGGGCATCTATATATATTTATTTTGAGACCCTTCCAGCCTTTTGATCTAAAGGAGGCAAACGAGCTGGGTTATTTTTCAAACTCACGCTGTTGACACTGTTCAAACTGTTCCATCGTTGGAAGCCAGAAGCGGGGCACTTGCATGACGTGCACATCTCTCCCCATAACTTCACTGACTAGCCTGTTCTCTGGTCATCGATAGGTTGTCCAAAACCAAAGTCCGGGCAAATAGACATTACGCTGCTCGTATTTTGACTTCGGACAGCGGCTCATCCCTGACATGGAACCGGGTAAATTATCGCCGTAGGACCTGGGAAGTCTGGACCGATCGGAATGCATAACATCGGCTTTAACTATATGTGACATGACAGGACGGACTATGGCAGAGAGCAATTCTGCAAGATTACAGTACTTCCACAGAGGAGACTAGCTCATCTTCCATGCAGATCCCGAAAAACTTCGGGACAGGGAAAGTTCAAGCGATGAAAATCTTTAATTAACTATATATATCTCTTCATATGTAATCACATATATCACCAATACAGGACTTCATTCTAATCCATGACAAAATGAAGTATATCATACAATAGCCAGCAGGTTCCCAAGATGGAAGGGAGAAATAGCAAAAACTCGTGAATAGATATGATAAGAAAGAAAAAAAAAATTTAACATCAAGTCACGCAAAAGGGATATATGTTTCCACAGCTCCAACTGCCCCACCTCCAGAAGTCCGGAAGTTTATAATAAAGATGCGATTATCATTCAGCAGCCGAAATCGGTTAGGTTGTCCATCAATATGGGAAATATGGTGAACGACGAACGGGATACTTGGCAAATGTGGCGGTATTAGCTCGCGTCTCTCGGATAAATAACACATGGGGCGTATGACAAAAGCCCTCTATGTGCACTGTTACGGAACTGCATATTCTATAGTGACTTATTTGTTGTGAATTAATAAAGTTCGCAGAGAATCCCAGTGGTCGGAGTCCGAATAACTAATTTCGTACAAGTCAGCGAATTGTTCGCATCAATCTAATATCGGAATCATAATGGCAAATCGGTGCAGATGCCTCGGGATCCTTTGACATACATGTAAGTCATGCTGCTTCGCAAGCTTGATTGAATGGCAGCTGGGTGCCAGCGGAAAAGGTACATGACACAGGCCCAACTGAGACTGGCAAAGGCCGGCCAGGCATTTGCATAGATTGCGCTTCTGGCTTCGGGTGTGATTAGATGGGACAGCGCATGTGTCCCAGGCTCAACTGAGAGCTTTGCGACTGCAAGAATCACACGTGCAAATACGTATATAACGATCTAAATTAACGTATATTAGGTTTTAGCCCCTTAAGACTCTTATATGAACTCTTTTTCTTTTCTTTTCTTTTTTGCTTTTTATTTTATTTTTATTTTGTTAGTTCAGATACTGACCTGTTGGCTAATGCTACCTGGTGACTTGCCAAAAACGAGGTATCCTCCTAGGAGCCCGGATATGAAAGTATCGTATGGCCCCTCCTTACCCCACCCATTTGGACCTATATATTTAAGGGCAAGCATGGTAGATTTGTATACGACGGCGAACAATGAGAGGTTCCGTGCGTGTTGTCTTGTCGCTTTGAAAACGAGCCATGCTTTATGACGTAAACTGTGCATTGCGTTACGATTTGAGTAAACGGCTGGATAATGAAACGGGATGAGACTGAGAGGAGACTCATGTGAGCGATTACCTTCCAGACCGGAAAATAAATATCATCCTAATAAATATACGACAGGGTGAGTTGACATTCATAAAAGAAATGCATACGCTGAGTAACAAATTAAATTGGCTGGACTTACACCAAAGCATGGGGGAATCGAATTTTCGCGCCGTAGACAGCCCCATTGCGAGCTCCTTTAAGAACCGCGAGAAATGGAGCAAGGTCAGGGTCCATGGCAATTTTATTTAGCTTTTCCTGCAACTGCATGTTAACGCGAGGTCCTCATGGTTACACCTGGGGAGGTGACCGCATACTATAAGGGAATCCATGGCTTTTTAACCTCGTCAATCCTCTAAACCCGCAATTGGCACCCCGGTCGGGCAAAAGGGTAACGAAATATAAGTCCGAGTTCCTCTCATTAGGTGGCTGTTAATGTAGAAATGCTCTGTTGGAGGAATCGCGAAAAGCGTAAATATACACTGTCGTGAGGTGACCGGTGTTTGGGAGCCAATATAAAAACAATCATGAAACAATATTGTGGCAGTTTCTCCGCCCGCACTTGTTTTTTTGTAGTCCCTCGGCATGTGAAGGTTCTTGCCGACAAGCGCGCACTTGATGTCACCCAACCTCATGTGACTTCCTTTGCCGCGCGCTTGTTTGTGCCGAGCACTCCACAAACTCACTAATCCAGATTCAACAGCGAGTCGCGACTCCGAAGAGTTAACTACCAGGATCAGACTGGAAGATATATGACAACTTTCTCTTGGGGTTGCTTGGGCTTGGACTTTCTGACAGGAGATTGACATGATTGCTGATTGCTGATTAATATGCCTAAACGGCTTACTCAGGACCAAAAACTGGCCGTGACTGCAGCTTTGTTTCGTCAAGAGCCATATCCAAAGATCGCTGCCACTCACGGAGTATCAGAACGACGACTGCGGGGGATTTCTCTCTGCCTGAGAACATGGGGAACGACTCATCCCCCGAGGATGAAGCAGATGGGGAGGCCAAAGGCTATCACAACTGAGATTCAGGAGGTATGACGACAGGCCCCGTCAGTTTCCCGTTTCGCAATGGAAAACTAAACAATGACGAGTATTTCTCCAGGGCCTTCGTGAATACGTCAATTCTCGACCCCTTTCCAGTCTTCAAGATATGCAATACCATATACAGAAGACCTTTAATGCGAAATGCAGTTTCCGGTCAATTTCACTGTGCTTGAAAGATATGGGGTACATCCGTACCATCGTCCAGCGGGGGAACAGGTCTCTTGAGAAGGACAACCTTCCATCGCTGTCGGATCCTGACAAGCTGCGCATTCAGAGTGATCCAGCTGCAGCAAAGCTTTTGGACAAACCCAAGGTCATATATGCGTGGTTATTGATGCCTAAGCCAAGCGCGAGTCTCACCAAGCCGCTACCAAGAAGTCTGCATCTGCGAAGAAAGCCAGAAGAGGTGTGAGCGCCGGACGGCGATCTCAAGAACTGTCAGATGACGAGCGGGACGAGGAGGAAAGTCTCGACGTCTTGCTTAATGGGGACATCTCCGCTGCTGCACTAATACCGGCCGTTGCCCCAGCTCTTCCAAGTTTCCCACTGGCAGCATCTCAATCAGTGGGCTGATCGAGAAACTAGCGGACAGACCATAAATAGAGATATTTTGTGACGCCATATTTCCAGCTTACTGACCAAGCATGTATTTTGAGTGGCGTTTTTTTGTATTATTCATATAGACATCTGTGCGAAGTTGGCGCACTGAAGTGGGTTCTGTATATATATATGCTTTTGATTCCCTCATTACACAATGAAACTCTTATATGATGTCCTTCACAAGCGATAGGGTTTCTCGCACACAAGTCCCATTTTAAACCAGCCAAACCCAAATAAAGAACGCCATGCTAACGCAGAATGAGAAGGAATAACAGCCAAAACCAAGACCATCACTACCTCAGCCCAATTTTGTCTTTTTCGTATTACCGCCTTCAGCTATCTCACCGACATCCATCATATCTACATCGCCGCCATCACCATCTTCAACCCCAGCCCTCCGCTTCAGCCCCTTCATCTTTCTGGTCTGTAGCCCACTCAGATCCTGGCGGCCAAGATGAACCCGCCCAATTTTATCACCAATGGCATCCATACCAATATTCTTCTTCATCTTCCCCTCCTCATTCGGTGCCTTGCCCTGTTTCATAGCCTCCTTCATGACAGTTTCATCCGCCTCCTGTACCCTCCCAACTCTAAAATCAAACTTAGGTCCAATCTCATCTAGCTCCACACGGGGAAGTTTTTGCCCACTCTTCTTCGTCCGAATCTTATACCACCTCAAATGAATAATGGCTGCCAAGCCTTCCACCGGCTCCTCCGCCGCAACCATAAGCAGATATTGCAAACCCTCCACATCTATTTTATCCGTCTCCTCCCCTTTGAACATGTCCAAAAACATACTCTTCAACATCCCATATACAGACGACGTCGCATCCTCCCAGGCACTTCCCGCAAACAACATCATTGGTTTCATCTCGACGCCGATATCCAACTTCATTTTTTTCATCTCTTCCTTCTCCGCTTCCTTCCCCTGGTCAACCTGCTCGCTCAACAACAGCATCTCGCACATATCTAGCAGCTTGGAGTTATAGATGCGCAGTAACGTCACGCAATTTGGCCGCTTCTTATTACTGCTGCCGAAGACCACGATGCCGCATTCATTTTTCACGGCGAGAAATTCAATGTTCTCCGTGCTCTCAAACGGGTGGATATTTTCGTTTTTCTTATGAAAGAGGACTGAGTGTGGCTTTGTGAGGGCGTGGAATGTTTTGAGGACGTTGTGTAAGGGTTGGGGGCATTTGGGGCCATGGAGGAGGAGGATGCGCTTGACAGGTTCGATAAGTTGCGGTTCCCGCGCCTTGAGGATGCGGGCGGTACGCGCGGTTTTTGGTTTTCTATATTGATTGCGTTGTTAGCGTTGCTTGTCTCTTTTTCCTCCTAGCATGCATTCCTTCTTATGCACGGAGTATTTCGGTCAGGAAAGAAAATCAGTGTAAAGTTTGAGAAGAGAAAACCCGCTGAAAGCGATTGGGAACATACACTTCTCTGAGCATTGTGAAAATTAGAGCATATAGACATATATATCTGCATATATGTGCAGATAAACGCGCCCCCAATTCTTTGTGAAGGCCTGACGTTTCTCTGTGAGTGGCTCTGAGGTTTAAAAGATGATTTTTTTAATCTAGGAGCTGGGGGAGCTGCAAACAATGCAAACTTCAACTGAGCAACCCCAAAGTACGATAAAATAGCGAAGACTCTCGTGTTTTCCATATAAATAAATGGCTACAACTCGTAAGCCTTCATAACGCCAGGACATTTACAAGGTAACTAACCTGTAGGGGGATCACAGCTACGGCATAGGAACAAATCGGGCCCTACAAGAAGCATATGGCACCCCGCAAATTGGGAAGGTTAGTTACTCTGATGCACGACATGTCTCCACTGGATCGGACCTGAGCACATCTCGATTTTCATTACCATTTCTTTCAGAGGATTTGCTTCATCTTGAATATTGTAGGTCTTGACAGTGAAGCTTTCTCACATTTGGGGGGTGGAAAAACCTCCGAAATGCGGAGAAAACGGTATCCGGATCCACTTCCCCTGGCACAGTAGTTATTCATGGTTCCAGAGTTTTAGGTGCCCCGGGCAAAACGGCCGCAACGGCACAGCAGACCAGACTGGTTTCATCGGATTGGCTGGTCCACATCTCCGAAATCCATGGACCTGGGTACAGTTTCTCCCGTTTAAATCATATTCAAGGAGTTAATCTGGGCTGAAAAATCAAATAAGGTTGCGTGAATGGATTCTCCTTTGGTTTGCCGCCCTCTCTTCTCGAATGGAGGCGGAATACTGCATGAAACCCTTGTTCCTCTAGGATGCTGCCCGCTTGTCAAACAGCGGATTAATAGACGGTCCCGCGTTGGTCGGGATACGGCAATCCAAGAGGTTTCCACTGACAAGAAAATAACTGCGGTTTCACTCCACCGCCATTGCCATTTACTACTTATTACGCTATAAATCATTGACTATGCTTTCGTTTTCCTCGTAAAGCGAAAGGAATCAAGTTTGGATAAAATGGACAGGTTTTGTGGTTCGGTAAACGGCACCCATTATGACGACTCTCTAGCGGCTGTTAATTAAAAGATCCCTAAAATCGATGTTCATTAGTTACGGAGTAACTAACTACACCAGGTAAATTATAACTATTGAGTGGTGTCTTGCCATGGCAACGACATATTCCAAAGAGAACAACTAGAATATGTAATAGATAATGCTGGATTTCAATGGAGCAAGAGTTCATTGATTGTGATAAACATTCATTCCCAGTCATTCGTATGAGAGGCAATTATCGAACCAGTGTAGCTGTTGTCCCGCGCATTCGGCTATTTATATTAACTAAACCTCGGACACGGGAAGTTCAACGGCATCAGACAACCCCGGGTTTGATATTCAGTTCAACGACTCACCAACTATCTTGGCCCTACAAGACCATTAACTTTCCATTGGCTGAGCGACTGAATATATCTTACAGGCGGAGGCTCATGCCTTAAGGAGACCATGAATGGTACATTTCAGACGTGAAATTATGTTGAGGAAAACTAGCTGGATCACATTGAGGATGCATAGGCATCTCCCGCGCTGATGAAGTTTAAGTTGAGACAGCCCATGTTTGAGCCCTTAACAGCTCCAAGGCGCCTGACGCACATTTTCAGCGATGGCACACCCGATTTCCAGGCGAAGGCCTTCATTCACATACGGATGCATGAAAGGCCAACCATCATGATACCGTAGATGTATGACCATCGGTCAATTTCCCAACGCCATCGTGTGTCATTTTAATTGGGAACTATGGCCCATTAAAAAGAACCTTTGGAATGGACGGAGAGTCGGCTAAGTCCCTTCTTTTCCCATGCAAAGGGAATTAATTTCTCTATCTATGGTTCTTATATTGATCAAAGAGTGTATAACTTTTCCCTCGAAGGTGCTTTTCCCCTGGGCATCCCTCTACTTCCCGTTATTGCTGCTAGATTTGTCGCTCTTTACATCACAAACCCGATCATCAACATTCTTTTGAACTCCAAATGAGACCGGCAGTTCTTTTTGCTCAGTACTCTTAACTGTTTGGACCGTAATTGGTGTCGTTCGGATTTGTATACAAGTTCCAGCATACGGTGGGTGGAACTGCGAGATCATATCTTCGAGACCACGAAGTTCTCCACTGCCAGTGAAAAGAAATGATAAGGCACATTTCCGTGGCTTGCCTTGTGCTTGTTCAGCTTGGAATATCGGGAGTATGCTCTACGAGATGGCATTGACTATTGTGATGAGACTGATCGAGTCTATAGCACAGAACCCACGCGAGAATAATAGGCCTCAAAGAGTTCCAGAAGTTTTCCCATAAGGTAGGGTCTTAAGCCAAAATATCAATCGTCTCCGTCCTCATGCTAAATACGCTATAGGGGGAAGATTTTGAACCAGACATCCAAATTAATGCAAGGTTGCCTAATGTATGTTGTCAAGCACCCCAAATGAAGTGTTAAGAGGCTCATCATCATAGGACCACATATCTGTTTCCGTTGGAGGTGCTGCTCCTCCGTCTCACAACGGCGTAGACGGCGTAGTATTTGACGAAGGGGGAATTGTAGTCAATATTATAAACTCAGGAGACGGATCAGAAGCGCAAGCACATGCGCCGAAACCCGTTCCGGCAACACCCCAAACACAAGCACAAGTTCCAGCACCCATCGAATATCAGGGCGTGGCAGGCATTTCAATTCCAGTTGAACCTGTCGGACACACTCCATCGCCCATACCGTTTCAATTTGAGGCAGGATCTTCGGCCGTTTTGACACCCCAGGTTTCGTCGAAACCTCCCACTCAAAATGGGCCATATGCCGTCCCAAATACTCACCTCCAACAACCAGGCCTTGCCCCCGATGCCTGTGATTGCCAATGTCTCTGTCCTTTTCATTTTTTCAACACTCCTGCTGTGAATTTGGCAGCGTCAATGCTTTTTGGAAGTGAGACGTCGCCAACAACCTTGGCCACGGTTGCTTCTCCAGCGTTTCCAGCATCTTCAATTTTGAACACGACTACCGCCGGGTCATCATTCCCCCCTGAGATTGGTGTGGTAACCGACAGTGCCGTCTCACCTACCCTTTCAGACGTTCAAGCTTTTGCCACACTCGTTCCGGTTCAGTCATTTTTGTCTTCCGAGTCAGAAGTTCAAACTTCCAGCATTGAAGCTCCTGGTTTGCCACCAGTAGTTCTCCCGGAACCATCTGAGGATGTTGTAGTTGTCACCACTGGTTTACCTGTGGCTCCTGAAGGCGATGCAACACCCAGCGAAGGTGATTTTGCAACACCCAACCAACCTCCCACTGCCGTACCGACAGAAACAGCGATGACAAGTGCAGAGGCTATGCAACCACCGGCCGCAGAGGTGGACGTTACACAGCCAGCGACAACAGAGGCGACGGCAACAACGGAAGTTCCACCAACGGTAACTGACGCAGACTTTACCCAGGAACTAGCAGAGAATGCGAATGACAGTGCTACCGCTACCACACCAGAAGCGGCAGAAACAGACGCTGATTCAGCCCAACCTGCAACGCCAGAACCACCAGAGGAAACGCCTGCTCCAGATCCGGCTGTAGATGTGCCTATTGATGTTGGCACCATGGCACTTTATAGCGCTCTGACTTTGAGACTTGGAGCGTAGCATGGGAAATACGGCTTTCGGGAGGTTATTTACTGTATGCCAAAGACATTTTATGTTTTACGCTCATCACTGCGCTTTTTAAAGAGGATCAAGCAGGCCTTGTGCCTTGTTTTGCTTTTGCTGTTTTCGCTGTCGCTGCGTTGACTTACCCCATAATCTTCGGAATTGAGAGTACTTATTTTTCCTGGTACATTATAATTATTCCCCAATTGCGTATAGCGCTTGTCCATATCCTTTTTCTTTCTCGATCCCGTTATTCTATTTCAGGTTTTCTTTCCATTGAAGGTACCATAGGCGGAGTTAACAGTACATGAGGGTATATCCCTTTTGGGAAAGTTTACTGTAGCGCATATGTATATCCCATATTTACCGCGCAATATTCTTTTCACATAATTGACGTCCAATGTCATGAAGTTAAAAAGAGGGGGAAACCAAAGTAGCACGCACGAATCATGATTTATTTCCCCCAGCAATGGGCGAAGCGGTCGAAGTATCAACTCCCGACCCCTGAAGCTTCGCCCTCTTAGCCCTCCGTTTCATCTCCCGTTTCGATAATGGTGCTTGGAGCTCAGCATTCGAGTCCGTCTCTGTATCAGCCTTCCTTTTCACCCCATTCGTATTCTTTGTCCCCTCATCCCTCTTGCACTTACTCTTATCCTTATTCTTAACACCATCCCTTTCCTTCTCCTTCTGCCGCTCCCCACCATAAACCACATCCACAATCCCCCTCCAACTCCTCCTCTTAATTCCTGCCAACGCCACGACCTTCCGCGCTTCATCGCACAGCGCCTCTTTCCCCCGCTCCTGTGTCAATCCCCACACACACGCCAAATTAACCACATCAAACGGCGCCCGTACCCCTAACGCCCTCCTCGCCTCGCTCGATATAATAATCCCCCGCCCCCGTGTCGCGCGAATCAGCGAAGCGGCATTCCCGATGAGATTCCTGCGCGCTTCAGCGCCGCTACCAGTTACGCCGGGGCCGTAGCAGATTTCAAAGCGCACGCCGCGGACGATGGCGGCGGAGAGAGTTTTGAATTTGAAGTGGAAAGGGAGCCGGGAGGAGAGGTCGAGGGAGATTATATCGCAGTCCAGACTATTGCAGGCGAGGGAGAGGCATTTTTCGTTAAGGGGCCGTAGGGCGATGAGGGAGTAGAGTTGTGAGAGCGGGGTGAGGCGCTGGTTCTGGGAGGGGTCGGAGACGGTGATGGTGATGCGGGATAGGAGCGTGAGGGATTTGGGTAGATTTGGCGGTGGGGCGGGTGGGGAGAGGTCAGATGGGAGCTTTCCAGATATGGATTGGGAGAGAGCTATGGTTGCGTAGCCAACTGTAGAGCAGGGAGTGAGCAGGGAGTGAGCATGGAATATACATTCAGAGGGAGAGAGACTCCTATGGTTGACTTACGTTCGGAGAGAAAGGCGAGGGTGTTGGCGATTTCAGGGTCGTTGGGCGTGTACGGGACATTAAGATCGTAGAACATGATGGCAGTGCTGGGGCCATCCAGCCCACCATTCAGAATTCCTTGCTATTGCAATCAATGTATTCATGGATTATTGGACATGGCATGGATTAGTTATATATTTAAAATACCATCAACTTCAGTCTTGACATCGAGGACAAAATAAATGTCATTAACTAGTTTGGCTGGTTAGTTAGGTAGTTAACTTGAGAGCTTCAAAAAAAGAAAAAAAGAAAAAAAAATCTTGGATTAATTTATCAAAACTTTCTGGCCCAATCGGCTTTACCCAAAAAAAAACATTACATAATCGTTCCTGACGGATGATGTTTGATCCGAAAAATGATGCTAGTCCATTTTAGTGCTAGTTAGTTATCTGGGTCGTTGCATTAGCCTTTTTTCGCGGGGTTTTTTCCATGCCCAAAACATGTGACTTGCGAACTTAGAGACGGAGTGATTTGTCGCACCTGATTAGATTTAGTTTTGTATATCACATTCAGTGCGAACAACCACTTCTTGTTGCCTCCCGTGAAGTATATCAACCATACCACCCTCCTGCTTGACGCTTGGCTCTTCCTCAGCTACGGCATCGGGCGACGGCGCGTTCGCTGCCTTTGCATTCGTACCCTTCATCCCTTTTGTTTTGTTTCACTTTCCTTCCCGCTTCGCAAAAAAATCCATCTGTGGGCCGCGTTCTTTGGGAGAAGCCAGATATCGGCCACCCGACATCATGGCGCGAGTGTATGCGGATGTCAATCAGCAGATGCCCAAGTCATATTGGGATTATGACAGTGTCAACATATCCTGGGGCGTGTTGGAGAACTACGAGGTTGTGAGGAAAATCGGTATGTGTTCAAGCCCAGCCGGATGACACGCAAACATTTCCCCTCGAACAGAGTCGAAGAGAAGTCGCATTTGAGGGTATTTAGATTTTGAAACAAACGAAAAGATAGTAAATGGCTAATGCTTCTTGAGTTGCTTCACTGAACAGGGCGGGGGAAATATTCGGAGGTTTTCGAAGGGATAAATGTGGTCAACTACCAGAAATGTGTTATCAAGGTGTTGAAGCCAGTAAAGAAGAAGAAAATCAAAAGAGAGATCAAGATCTTACAAAATCTCTCCGGCGGTCCCAATGTGGTTGCTCTGTTGGATGTCGTCCGCGACAGTCAGAGCAAAACCCCCAGCTTGGTTTTCGAATACGTAAATAACACCGACTTCCGAACACTATACCCTCGATTTGTCGACTACGATGTAAGATACTACATTTTCGAGCTTCTGAAGGCCTTGGACTTCTGCCACAGCAAAGGAATAATGCATCGCGATGTGAAACCCCACAATGTCATGATAGATCATGAACGACGAAAAGTACAACTTGTCCCTGCTACCCCCCCCCCCCCCCCAAAAAAAAAAAAAAAAAAAAAAAAAAACCTATGAAACTATATGCTGACCGTTTTCCTTTTCACCTGCAGCTGCGACTCATTGATTGGGGTTTGGCCGAATTCTATCACCAGGGAATGGAGTACAATGTCCGTGTCGCGTCGCGGTACTTCAAGGGACCAGAACTCCTCGTAGACTTCCAGGAATACGACTATTCTCTTGACATGTGGTCATTAGGGGCCATGTTTGCGTCGATGATATTTCGAAAAGAGCCATTTTTCCATGGAAACAGCAACTCGGACCAACTGGTTAAAATCGCCAAGGTGTTGGGTACCGATGAGCTATATGAATACCTCGAGAAATACGATATAGAGCTGGACCCGCAGTACGACGAAATCCTTTCAAACTTCTCCAAGAAAAGCTGGCATTCGTTTATCAACGCCGAAAACCAAAGATTCGTCAGCAACGAGGCCATAGATTTCTTAGATAAATTGCTCAGATATGACCATGCAGTACGCTAATGTTTTCCGTTTTATATATGTTTTAAGTCTCCTCAATTTTACTGTTAGCTAATTTTGCCTCCCAGGACCGCCTTACCGCCCAAGAAGCAATGGCTCATCCCTATTTCGCTCCTGTTCGCGCTGCTGCTGCCCAATCACTCCAGAACAGCGGAACAGCTTCTCACTCTTGACCCATCTCATCTTCCTATCCAATGTCCCGCATGCTTGATTATGCATCACCTCTCCAGGTTACTCCTTTTTAACATTTCCTACACCGATCCCAGTTCTATTTCTCCCTACGGCTCAATCCTCAGCATGGAAACGGATAATGAAGGACGGGTTCATGGCGCCTCGCAACGTTACTTATGAACTTTTCCTTGCATGGCCTTTCAACACATACATAACGAAGAATTGCTTATGAAACCTCTTATTTCTGCATTTTCTTCATTTATGTCGCTCTCCTTTTTTAAAGTCAGGTATAGCGCAGGGTTTTTGAAATGTCTTTTTTCCCTTTTTCTCCTTACCTTTTCTTCTAATTTCAATGTACCATGTGTAGCTAAAGAAGCAATAAACCTACTTACACCTGTAACCCCCCCCCCCCCCCCCCCAAATAATGGGTGTTAGTTGTTCAATTCAACTCTATCAATGCAACCAGTCGAAGCTCCCCGCCCCGTGATAGTAACACGTGACATAGAGTTTGACTCACCACGAACCCGAAAAGGAATTCGATCTCGAAGATCCGAAAACTTTCTGCATAAGTTAGCATATATATCCCCCAATATCCCTCCACCTTCACGCTGACTGTTGTTATTAATCACCACTCTATCACAAAAAATTTTATTCCTCTCTTCAAATAGCCGAATTGTGCATCACCCTCAGTTCTTCCCGATCTTCCCCTCCTGCAGCTCCAACATACTACTCCGACGATTAGTTACTACGCGCTCTGCGCGATGGGTAATTGCTCCAACAAGACCAAGATCAATATCATTTAGTATGGCATCCAATAAGGCACAGCAGCCTCCTGGTATGTGCGCAATACAAAACGGTGTTGTCCTTCTTCGTCCTGATTTCGCAATACTGATTATCTGAAATTTGGTTGCGTTTAGCTCCGGAGCAAGCAACAATCACAACCCTTCCAACGGAAAATGAGGCTGTTAATGTTGCGATTGGGGCTCAGCAGGGGCAAAAGGAGAAATCAGAGAGAGATTGTAAGTCTTCCTTTTAATATTAGAACGAATTGTCTCGGGCATACAACTCGCGACAACTGGTTGGAATCATTGATCTGTTACGGGTATCTCCCATTATTGATTGTCGAGGGGAGATATTGGCTAACTTATATTTTTGATATGCAGATGAGAAGGAGCGGAAGAAGGCAGACAAAATGAAGAAATTCGCCGAAAAGAAGGCTAAAAGCGGATCTGCTGCTGCTCCTGCTGCGCCCAAAAATTCCGAAAAGAAAGTCCCCAAAGTCGAGAAGGAAAAAAATGCTGACGCCTATGATCCTCCAACCATTGAGGCTGGGAAATATGAATGGTGGGAGAAGCAGGGGTTCTTCAAACCTGAGTTTGAACCAGATGGGAATGTCAAGGAAAAGGGGAAATTCGTCATTCCCATTCCGCCTCCCAATGTTACGGGGGACCTACATATGGGCCACGGTTTGACCAATGCACTTCAAGATACCATGATCCGCTGGCAAAGAATGAAAGGGAAAACAGTATTATGGCTTCCAGGCTACGATCATGCAGGGATATCGACACAAAGTGTCGTGGAAAAGATTCTGTGGAAGACTGAAGGGAAGTCTCGCCATGATGTTGGTAGAGAGGTTATGACGAATATGATCTGGGACTGGACGCATAAATACCATGATAGCATTACCACCACCTTGAAGAGGTTGGGGGGTTCTTTTGATTGGACTAGAGAAGCCTTCACAATGGATGAGAACCTTTCGGCTGCGGTGACGGAAACGTTCGTTCGACTCCATGAAGAGGGGATCATATACCGCGAAAACCGTCTCGTCAACTGGTGCGTGGCTTTGAATACCTCGCTGTCAAACCTTGAGGTTGAAAATAAGGACCTCGAAGGCCGAACACTACTTGAAGTGCCAGGATACCAGAGGAAGGTCGAGTTTGGCGTCTTGACCCATTTCTTGTATCCGATTGATGGCACGGATGAATCCATCCAAGTTGCAACCACACGACCTGAGACCATGCTTGGTGATACTGGTATTGCAGTCCATCCCGATGACAAACGATATCAGAAATACATCGGCAAATTTGCTAGACATCCATTCATGGATAGATTGCTCCCAATTTTTGCTGATACCAAAGTTGATCCTGAATTCGGTACTGGCGCTGTCAAAATTACACCGGCACATGACTTCAACGATTTCATCCGCGGAAAAGATAACAACCTGGAATTCATTTCTATTATGAATGATGATGGTACTTTCAATGCCAATGCTGGTCCCTTTGCAGGCGTGAAGCGGTTTGACGCACGATACCAAGTCATTGAAGCATTGAAGGAGAAGGGTCTATACGTCAAATGGGAGAACAATCCAATGAAGGTGCCCGTTTGCACCAAATCGAACGATGTTATTGAGCCGATTTTGAAGCCGCAATGGTGGATGAGCATGAAGGGCCTAGCTGAGCCAGCAATTAAAGCTGTCGAGAACGGTGAAATAATAATCCGCCCTGAGACTGCTGAGAAGAGTTACTTCCGCTGGATGAACAATATTAATGACTGGTGTCTGTCCCGGCAGCTCTGGTGGGGTCACCAAGCTCCCGCTTACTTCGTTCAGATCGAAGGAGAGCACGGTGATGACAGTGATGGCAATCTTTGGGTGGTTGGTCGCACTGAAGCTGAAGCTCAAAAGAAAGCGGAAGCGAAATTCCCTGGGAAGAAGTTCACTCTTAAGAGAGACCCTGATGTGCTAGATACGTGGTTCTCCTCTGGGCTTTGGCCATTTTCCACTTTGGGTTGGCCGAAGAACACCCCCGACTTTGAAAAGCTCTACCCGACCTCCGTGTTGGAGACTGGTTGGGATATTCTCTTCTTCTGGGTCGCCAGGATGATTATGCTTGGAATCAAAATGACGGGCAAGGTCCCCTTCACCGAAGTTTACTGCCACTCTTTAATTCGAGACTCTGAAGGGAGAAAAATGTCGAAGTCACTGGGAAACGTGATTAACCCCATCGATGTTATCGAGGGTATTAAATTGCAGGACCTGCATGAGAAACTGAAGCACGGCAATCTGGCCGAGAAAGAGATTACCATAGCCACTAAATACCAGAAAAAGGCATTCCCCAAGGGAATTCCAGAATGTGGCACTGATGCTCTGCGGTTTGCTCTTGTCACCTATACAACCGGTGGTAAGTTGAGTTTCTACACGTGAAGAGTTAAATGAATGACCTAACGTTTTCTTTATTCCTAAGGTGGCGATATCAATTTTGATATCCAGGTAATCCACGGCTACCGTAGATTCTGCAACAAGATCTACCAAGCAACAAGATACGTCCTCGGCAAACTTGGAGATGATTTCAAACCCCAAGCCAGCCCCACCAAGACGGGTAAAGAGTCTCTTTCAGAACGTTGGATCTTGCACAAATTCAATAAAGCCGCAAAAATTGCCAACGAGAGTCTAGAAAACCGGGATTTCTCTGTCGCGGCATCAACCCTATACCAATACTGGTACAGCCAGCTCTGCGACGTCTTCATCGAGAACTCTAAATCCCTTCTCCAGCCTGATGTCCCTGCTGAAGTCCAACAATCGGCTAAGGAGACTCTGTACACTGCTCTTGAGGGCGCATTGACCTTGATACATCCCACCATGCCCTTCATCACCGAGGAGCTCTGGCAGCGCCTGCCTCGCCGCCCCGGTGACAAGACACCGTCAATCATGAAAGCAGCGTACCCCGAATATAACCAAGCATTCGATGACGTAGCAGCCGAAACTGCCTATGAACTTATCCTGGCCACATCCAAGACCATACGCAGTATCTTTTCCGAGTACGAAATCAAGACTAAGAGCGACATCAAGATCCAGACCTATGACTCGACAAGTTTTAGGACCGTCTCGGATGAAGTTCATCTCATCAAATCCTTGGGCGGTAAATACGTTGGAGACATCACTGTTCTTGATCCGGAGAATAAGACTTCCCCTCCTGGCTGCGTGCTCTCTGTGGTGAGCGCGCAGGCCGCCGTCTACCTCCCGGTGTCCGACGAGGTGCGCCTGGAGCAGGAAGAGAAGGCCAAAGTGAATCTTGCCAAGGCGCAGGAGGTTGTTAAGCGGCAGTTGGGGATTATGGGTTCAGCAGGATGGAAGGAGAAAGTTAAGCCGGAAGTTAGGGAGTTGGAGGAGAAGAAATTGAAGGATGCGGAGAGTGAGGCAGCGAGGCTTGAAGAGCATATTAGGGATCTGGAGAAGTTGAAGATTTGATACTAGATGTTTTTTTTATATGCAGATGATGGCTGGAAGGGTTAAGAAGGGAATGAAGGAAGACGCTGAAAGATATAATGGTATTTAGATGGTGTTTGGTAGAATTCTTAAGTCGTTTCTCTCATATGTGTCACTTCAAAGTTTCTCTCAAATGCTTTCCCTTTTCCTCCAATTCTCTGGATCCTCGCGTACGCTTAACCCTATACCGTGCTCCAATATATCAATTTTACATGAGGCAAACGGCTCCACCCATCAGGACTTGAGAACCCTTATCACGTCTAATCGATCGATGATCGATCAACGTAGGGACCATTTCACCATCAGATAGTCGCGCCACCTTATACTGCTGGGTGAAAATCTCAGACTCAAAATAACGTTTCAATGAGATGAAGGGACATTGGAGCCTACGGGCTCACTCATTTTGCCTTTGGAGCCCTGGGACCGTGGGACCGTCTACCGCGCCTAGAACTGCTGCGCCTAAGTAGTCAATTAAGCGCTCCCAACGAGTCCTCGTTTAACATCCCAGTCACAAACACGACGAGGGAAACATTCTTGGGTGGAACTTCTTCAGGAGAAGCTGAAGCTGTTTCACAAAATGCCAAAGAAGGCCATCCACATATCATTCAAGAATGCCCCTCACCCATGCAAAGATTCAAAACTTGATGCTTTGTTACCAGGCCAAGAAAAACCGGTTTCCTCGTGCTCCAGGTGGATAGGGGTGTGGATGGCTATCTAACAGGGAAATGGATGAGCAGTATATATATTCTATCCCCCCACTGCTTCTCCATTGTCAAAAATCTACTATTGTTTTTCTGTTGCCTCCAGGTTACTTCTCCATGCATTCAGAGTATTGCAATAATGAGTTTGTATAACCTCGACCAGTTCTTATACCACCTACTGTTCAACTGTATATGAGACAGTTATCTATCAGAACTAGGAGATCTGTCACACAGCTTTCTTTTCTCCAAGGTCTCAGCACAAACTCTATTCTTGTGTTATCTACCCATGCCGTATTCTACAATGACCAAACGTCAGAAACGTATCCCCCGTTAAAGGACAAAAAGAAAAAGGAGATGCTGACTTCATGATTTGTTCTATTTTATATGTGACAATACCTATCCTACCACCCGCAAAGCTGCTTATGCTGTGGATCTGTTTCTATTTTCATCTGCAGTCTCATTAACTAAGATGACTCTGGTGGGGAGCTGTCCATTACTAGAGGCGGGTATGCCTTTTATTGTCCTTGTTACTCTTGAAAGAGCTAATGGTTAACGCTCCTTGTTCTATTCGATACCTCTAAACTTTTTGAAACTGCCTCAAATGGCTCTCTACGTGTTCATTCAAGCTTCGTTTGTTATTCTCATTAACTTACAAAGCTGACCTCATCCAGCATTTACATCTTTCTTGCGGATCATATCTTCCTGACGGCGCTTCCCTACGAAGCATTCTCACCAACAAGCTCCGCAGCTCCGCTTTTGCGATATTTGACCCTGAGCCGGCTTACATATAACGTAAAGGTAGCTGAAGAAATTCATCTCACCACTGTACACAACGCGATTTTCCACCGTCCTTGCTAGATAGACACCGTTAGGCCAACCCCATTGAACGATGTGCCGCTGGTCCACAGTCCTATATTCCTGTAGACACCGCTCTGTGCCCGTCCGTGTGGAGGATGAAAGTTGCGAATGCAGTCCACACTGTCCATACGATGACACAGCTTCAGATTTCCCAGTCTCCTATCAGTGTTGTCTTTGCAATCCATGGAATGGGCCATCCATTGACGCAACGGCAGCGAAGCCAGTCCCAACCAGAAGACGGAGAAGGATTCCAAGAGGAAAGCGAACCATTAGACGAGGCACGTCACCCATACATCGAATCAAGGAGAAGAGACCGGGAACGATACCATGTGACAGAAGTGATTATATGATGACAACTATGAGGGAAAACTCCCGTAAAAACACTACCAAACCGGAAACAAGCCCCAATACCACCGATGACAATGGAAATTGTGGGAGTTCCAAGGAGAATGATCCAGTACGGAGAGGAGAAGGACGGCGGCGGCGGCGACGGTGTCAACGATGTCGACGACGATCTCGAAAAACCGAGCTGGGCAGTTTTCGACGAAGGGGAAATAAATTTTATTGACTGACCGGGTGCTTTGAAGGAAGGCGTGGCTATTTAAGGGCTTATTTACACGGTGAAGAGAAAGGATCAGCGGGCAGCAAATGGAGAATGGAGAATTCGTGATGATTTTGATTTTCTTTTTACTATTTTATTTTATTTTATTTTTTTATATTCATCATGAGCTTGATGTTGGCCTTTGATGTTTTTCTTTGAATCCATGTACACCTTGCATTTTATTTTCAAAATGATGAATCTTTCAACTATCATAACATCTGTTCTATTATAATTTCAATTAACCAATTCACTTTATCTATATTCAAGTAAAATATTTACTGTGTTTAACTTATATATATTTATATATTAATATTATATACTACTATTTTATTACTATCTACTCTAGTATGTTGTAATTTGATAAGAAGAAACTATAGAGAAAGCTGAATGAATGAGCTTGACTAGTTAAGAAAGCAAATGAGTGTATGCCTATGAATATAAGAGATAACTAAGAATCAAGAGGGTACAGGTGATTGTATAGAGAATTGCATGTGTATTCCAGTAACACTGATAATTGAGAATGAATTACTGACCCTCTGAACAGAGGCAGCGGTGCCAAGAAGGCGCTTTGGAGACACTTTGTATCTTTTTAAATTAGTTACAGTTAGATATCAGCTTCATTGTATAAAAATATTTCTACATCTATAAATTTGAACAATATCACATTCTCCTACTCTATAACTTCTAGGCCAGATATTATCAAATATATAATCTTACTTTTTAATGTAGATATGTAATATATATAAGTAGAACTTTATGAAAAAGTGTTAATAAGTAAAGAGATGAGCCCCTGAAGATCTCATCTAATATGTATCTAATTAGACAAGTTGATCAGTTGCAGAGCTCCCTTACAGGATGCAGACATCAACTTAAGAAGTTAATCAATCAATCAATCAATCAATCAAACCAAGCATGGAAGAAGAACAAAATGAAATGAAATGAACTAAAATAAAAAACAGAAAATCAAGAAACCTGACGGGGGGAGAATCGTGTTTTCCAAGATATGAATCTCTGCGGATCGTCTCGATTTCATCTTCGAGCATTACTCCCTTCCCGAGCATTAGCATCGGCTGCCAACTTCCTCCAGTAATTCACTCCGGCAGTAAGCGTAACTCTAGGCCGTTGATATCCAACTTCAACAACTGGCCCCATCGTCCGGGAATTTTGTGGCTGCAAAAGAGACGTGGGCTGCGCAAGCTGCCTGCGATTCGGTATTTCACCCAGTTTCGTGCTTCCAGATGATATGGATGACGAGGATGAGACTACTGGACCTGCTCTGGTTGCTGTTCTCCCATGTGGCAGCTGCAGATTCTGTGATAAGGGAACCAGCGGCGAGAGTGGCTGCATCTCCTTCTGGAGCACCCCTGAAGCAGTAGATCCTAATGTCCTTCTACAGTGTAACATTGTTGGGCGAATGGGCGGTGCTGGTCCCCTGGGCTCTGACCTTCCATACTGTGGGAAGGCTAGGTCAGCATTTGGCTGTTGCGCAGGCTGCTGGAGGTGGACAAAAGCCGGGTGGTCTTGGTTATGCTCCATCTCGCATTGTTTTATCATGTTTGTCAGCTTCTTCGGAGCTTGCTGAGCTGGGTGCTGGCTTAGAACTGCTGTTGTCGCTAGGGATATCGAGGAGCCTTTTTTTGACCGAACCCACATGCCCCTGAAAGTTTGGTTGCTAGTCTCCGTTCTTGTTGGTGGTTTCGGCGATGTTCCACCAATATTCTCCTGGCCTCGTGCCCCTGCTCCTGACCTTGTCGCGCTTTGAGATCGATTTTTATCACCAGGTTTCTTCTCCAGTACCGTATTCGATCTCTGTCGGGACACTGATCTGCTCCGTTGTCTGCCCTTCTGAGTCAAGGGTGTCAACACTGGATTTGGTGCTGGTGTGGATAAATTTAAAAGGCGTTGTCGAAGCTCGTCAAGGGCACGTATTGCATCTACTGCAGCGGAATCAGAGAGGGTAAGTAGGGAACGTCGATCGACAGCTCCTCCACTGTTGCGTCCCGGTGCATCGTTGGATAAACATGATGCTATGAGTTTCATTAAACCGGCATTTAGTATTAAAAGCGTATGCGCCAGAGATCCTTGGGCGAGTTCTGGTCAAGATTGATGTTGGCGTATCAGCTTTGCCGAAGTATCAAAAGATGAAGATATTGAGATTTTCAGAGAACGGATCTACGGTGCATACCATCTCCTTTTCTGAATCGTTCACCCAACTGGCGCACGCTCTTCTCATACTCCCCCCTGATTTCAGCGGGGCCCCGTTCCAGCGATGCCTCGATGCGAACATCATCGATATCTTCGTTTCGAACAGTAACTGCGACATTGTTTGTATTTCTTCTTTTTTTATTTCGAATGCCGTGGGTTTTCTGATCTCGTTTGGCTTTATCTGTTCCTCGTCGCTTCAGCTGTTGCTTTTTTTGCATGTTCTTGAAAAGATCCCTCCCATTGCCAAAGGCAGCCAGGATAGAAGTCACAACTGTAGAGATGTCCATATTTGTCATGTTGGCGGATATTTCCGTGCCCCTCTGCAGGAATTTAAATAGATCTCCGATGTCACCTGGCAGGTAAGGTAATGATACAATTCCACCCCGCTTGGCAGCTGTCAATGACGCGGGGTATAAATGAAGTGGGCATAAACCTCCAGCAATCAAGAAATATCAAAAGTTAGATCCCAATCCGCCGCAAGAAGATATCCAGCGATTCCGCAGCCGAGCTGACCGGGATGAAGACCGGGATGAGGAGACGAGGCGGAGAGGTAACTTTTAGAGACTGTGAACATTGATGCAAACAAGGCTGCAAATCCCCCCTCCTCTCGGAAATCGGGACAGTCGACACTCTATCCCTGGAAAATCTGGAGAAGGCCATCATCAGACGCATCCATTCGCTCCAGGCACGGGCAGGTAAACGACCTTGACTCTGGAATGAGCCTGGCGTTTCGACCGCAGCTAAAAAACGTTCACTGAGCCTTAGCTTCGCATAAGTCAACGTTCCGTGGACGCAGTCGAGGTCCAGTGAGATTCTTCTGGCTCTAATTTCCCTCCTATGGAGCAGCGCCAAGTTCTGACAGCTGCCATCCAGTTAGAGCTGAGAAGAGCAAAAGCCCCTTGGTGAGCTTGTCCGTCACGGAATTCGAGGCGGCCAACCTATTCCAAGGGAGTCTGACTATGTTCAAGACTCGACGGAGCTCATTTCAACTGGTCGATTAGCATTTTTACATTTGTTGTCCTTTGCAAGATCAAAGGATGGTAGGCAACCAAGGAGAAACAACAGTTGAATTCTCTCCAGGTGGTTTGCAAGATAACTTCACCGTGCGTCTGCGAAATTTCCAACTCCAGAGTTTCTTCCAATAAGCTCTCATCGAATATGACACCCGCTCACTTTTGTGACCCGGAACTCAACAACCTCGAATCAGACCAAATTGTTTTGAAACCCGCTACAGTCGGGCGTCTGCATGCAGAGTTAGATACGGGATGTTAATTATCACCAAGTAATTTTTGTTCGCCTGGACATCCACATATTACATGTTCAGCTGTATTCCTATGTTTTATATCGAGGTCTCCTGAATATTCGTGAAATGAACGAGCCCATCGCAGAGTCCCCGTACCTGTTTTTAGTGCTGCAATTTATTTCATATCAACCGCTCATATCAGCCATTCGGCAATGTTACTGGCTGTCAACCCGGGTACATGCATCGGGAAACGAACTATTTCCACTCGACGGACCGGCACAAGAAATACAACTGCTTGGACCTGTTGAATTTTGAGAAAATAGAACCACTTTTCTTGAGCTCCTCATCTTATCCCGGGACTTCTCTCCTCCTTGTTTTGTGTCTGAGATAGGTAATCAGATTTATCACGGCATATGCCTCCCCCAAACTTTTACAACCTACCCATTTTCTCCTCCTTGAATATCTGTATCTTGCTTTCCCAGATGCATTTTCTCTACAGTGAAAAAGAGTTCTATTCACTTCGTCAAATGTTCCACTTGGCGGACCATTGAAAAACCGGAAATTCATGGTCGTCGAAAAGGTTCTCTTTCTCACATCTTCCCCGACCCTATTACCACTCTCACAGCACCCTCGGAACTGGAATAGCAGACACTCATGAATATAATGAGGCATACAATCAGAGTCCAGCAGGGTAGGGTCCACGTCTTCTCTATTGGAGGCGAGGCTATCTAACTATGTCTTGGCAGGCAAACCTGAAGAATATCAAAAGCAACTCCCTATTTAACATACTTCCTTCAGTTCTGCGAATGCCACCCTAACCGGATAGGTCCATCCACCTCATTTCATCCCAGGTTGGGGGAATGCTGGGTTGTTTGCTTACACCCCCTTATTCTCATCTCTCGTATGCTTCTCTCACCCGCATTGCACCATGCGACAACTCTCGTGAGAAGAACTCAAGCTTGAAAGGAGAAGCAGAAGGATATGAGAGAAAGGTTCCATTTTTGGTTTCTCAATCAAAATAATAATAATAATAATAATACAAGAATCGAAACTTATGTTCTTTGACAACGAAGTCAGCCAACACGGTCTGCGTGACCTGGTAATTACTAGTCCTATTAAAGACAAGCAAAACTCGGAAAAGGCAATGTGCAATAAGACTTCATTTCAGCTCATGATGTACGATAACCTCCTATCCCCCTCCTACCCTGACCCTCCACTTTCACCAACTCCCCCAACAAGAACCCTCAACTCTCCATCCATCCAATCTACCGTACTAACTTTAGCCAAGGCAACCATCCACTCCGCATCCGTCTGTACATCCACCAGTCCTTCCTCCAACCATACCTTAACAGGCAACGCAGGTTCCCCAACAATAATAGTAGCAGTATCCTGCTTTGCATGCTGGTGGTTATGGTTATGCTGTTGCTGGAACTGCATATGATGCTGGTGGACTTTCTGCAACAGGCTGGCTAAGTCGGGACATTGGTCTGCGGAGACATCGAGGCGGGGAATCAGGCGCTTGATTCGATTGGTGCTGGGACTTGTGGTGTTTACGTGAATGGTTATCTGGTGGGAGGGAATCCGGGGGCTGGTGGCGGTGTTTGTGCCTGTAGCTGAGGTGGTGGTGGTGGATGTTGTTGTTGTTGTTGTTGTTGTTGTTGAATGTGGCACGGGTTGTTGATGATGTTGATGTTGGCTGAGGAGGGCATCGCGGATGATATGCGATACATCGCGAGTTATTCCCGTCGCACTGGGATAAGGGGATTAGCAAGATATTGATGTATTAATACTCCTCATATCGTTACGCAATGTAGGGACAAAAAAAAAATTAGTAGAACTCACAAATAATTCTGCGCCGCCAAATCCTCTGTCTGTACGGCGCCACCACCCATCCCTACCCTCCATCCAGCCTGCGAAACACTATCCGAAGAAACTATCCGATTGATAGTGCAATTCTCGCATGCCTCATCACACTCCGAGGCATTGCCGGAATGGTCAATCTGATAATGGCAATCAACAGCGGCAACAAGTCCCCACCAATCTGCCTGCTGCAACCCGGATATGGAACCCAGGTTATCCAATCGATAATCCGTATTATAGCTATCGTATGATCGGGCGATGGAATCCCAATCCGTAGGATAACCTTCCATCAGCAGATCCATCAACCCAAGCTCCATCTCCGAACCACCATGGGGATGCTGCTGATGTTGATGCTGGTACTGCTGCGACGAGAACCCATGTTCCGGCGCGATGCTCGAATCTCCAGTGTGCCTCTTCTTCTTCTCCTCACCCACTACACCCATGCCCGGACCCCCTTTCCTCGTCTCAATCGCATACTGCCTCTGCCTCTCATTCGTAACCATCCTCCTCAACAACGGCATAACCAATGAAATAATCCTTTGCTCATCTCTCGGCCAAACGAGAGGTGGTCTCGACCTCACCCCCATATCCACTATCCCACCGCCCTCACCAACACTCCCTACACCCATACCAACCCCCTCCCCAAAAAACCTCTCCCCATTCCCCTCCTTGTCCAAAAACTCCCTCACGCAATTCCACAAACGCAGCTTAACCATCTCCGTATCCCCTTTGCCCCTCTGACCCACACAATCCCGCCGTTCAGGATGTGTCTCATCAAGCATATAAGCCTTTGCCGCAGCCTGCAAATACAGAAAATTTTCTGGCGAGAGTCCCAGCGACGAGAACATCTTCGATATGGGCGGGCGCGTATACTTCTTACTTGTCGTGGAAGGTTGACGGAATAGTGCCGCTGCGGAATGCACACCAGCCGCTCGCGCATCAGAAAGTGCGTGTTGCGGCGGCAGCTCCAGGATATCCAGACCATTGCCGTCCTCGACGATGACATCGTGACCATCCGTGCCAGAACCATCAGCAGTGCCACCAGCAGCAGCGACAGCAGTGCCATTACCATATTGCACCGTTGCGCCACCAGTCATAGCCGGGTCAACATTAGCAATCGTCCCCGCGCGTTTCCTTTTTCTCGTCGCCGCAGTGGGCTGATGCACCGGACTCCTCCCCACATTCCCATGGCGCAACCGTCTCGTATTATGAGCAGGCGCGCCATTCCCATCCAGTGTCCCCGGACCGGCTCCGGCTCCGGGAATCCCGCCAAAATGGACCTGTCCATTCGCAGTCGGATCGCCCACAAACCCATCATCCAGATGCATACCAGCGCCCACTCCATGCCCAGAGCCGGTTGCAGCACCGGGATACCCATCCAGGTGATTCTGCAACACACGTCCATGGCCCATCATGCCAGAATCCCCGTCGTCATTCTGCGCCCAGCCGCCATCTTGTCCCGCAGCGGCTGTGGCTGCCTCGACAAGGCCGGCTAGGTGATTGTCTGCAGCAAAGCCGGCGGCGGCACTAGCGGCGGCGGCGAGATTGTGCTGCTGCTGCTGCTGTTGCTGTTGTTGCTGTTGTTGCTGTTGTTGTTGTTGTTGCTGCTGCTGCTGCTGTTGGGCGCTGTTTGAGACATGGTGGGCTGGGTTATTGTTGTTTGGGTCCAGGTAGTGGTGGTGATGGTTGAGGTGGGCGTGAGAGAAGTCAGGATTTGATTGATGTTGTGATGATTGCTGAGAAGTTGATGTCATTTTTGAAAGGAGGATGAATTTTTGCAAAACAGAAGAAGGCAGGTGTGATATAATTTGATGCGAGAGGGTGAGGTTGAAGTGAGAGAAAATTAAATATATATCTACAGCTGAACAGGACTAAGTGCTTATCTCTAGATATAACAGTCAGTCACTACTAACCACCCTACAACAACACACAGAAAAAATAGAGATGTGTAAAATAACTCTACCTCAATAAGAAAATTGCACAGTATTTGCACGTTCTCAAATCTCTCAAGGCAAGCCTTGAGCTTCAGCTTCAAGCTTCAAGCTCTTTAAAAAGGCATCAGAGCTCAAAGCCCTGCGTACTTTGCAAGGCGCACGTTTGGGTAACTAGAATTCCGATCTTGCGATCGAGCTCAATTGCGCGCCTCCCTGTCCACAGCTAGTTCAATAGATAAAAATGGGATGGGCGGTCCGC